AGAAAGGCTACGCATCCTTGAATTCTACGGCACCCTTTTCCTTGAGATGCTGTTTCCGCATCACATTGTGCCTGCTTGGAGTAGTGTGCATATGGAACATAGGATCAGCCTTGTGCGTATAGAAAGAATTTGTGCTGATGTCTACCACAAAGATGAAAAAAAGAAAGCTAGAACACTTAAAGGAATAGCACACAGACCTACTTGATGGTAGGTTTCACCTAAAACAGTTAACAGTGGAAAATTAAAATATTGTCGGAGAAGCAGTGGCAATGGGGGTGGAGTGAAAAGAGGAATCAGCCTAGAATCTCTACGTAGCCACCAGCAAACTAAATCCCACCACCCCCTTGAGTGCCCTTGACTCTTACCTAATCCTAACCAGGCACTGACCATTAGTTCAGAAGATTCCTGTGCATAGACTTTTAGCAATAAATCAATTTAATTGAACCTTCACTGGTGGACCTGGTCATAAGATGTTAACAGAGAGATTAACAGAGTTGGAAAGGTCCTTGCAGGTCATCTAGTCCAACCCCCCACCCAAGCAGGAGACCCTACACCATTTCTGACAGATGGCAGTCCAATCTCTTCTTGAAAGCCTCCAGTGATGAAGCTCCCACAACTTCTGAAGGCAACTTCTGTTCCATGGGTTGATTGTTCTCACGTCAGGAAATTTCTCCTTATTTCCAGGTTGAATCTCTCTTTGATCAGTTTCCATCTATTATTCCTTGTCTGGTTGCTTTGGAAAATAGCTTGACCCCCTCCTCCTCTCTGTGGCAGCCCCTCAAATACTGGAAGACTGCTCTCCTGTCTCCCCTGGTCCTTCTCTTCACTAGACCAGCCATGCCCAGTTCCTGCAACCGTTCTTCATATAATTTTAAGTCTCCAGTCCCCTAATCATCTTGGTTGCTCTTCTCTGCACTCTTTCCAGAGTCTCAACATCTTTTTCATGCCTGACATATATATTGGCCTAAAGGTATTAATAAGATCTTAAAAACCACGTGTGCAGAAAAAGGCCGTCTGGGAGATTCATGTTCTCCACCATGAAGAAACAGAGGCAAAGTTTTAGTTTTCAGTGATGGAAGTTCTACGGAGAAACCTTCCCCAGGGAGAGAAAAACGATCCGATCCAGACTAGACATAAGCTGACGTCATTCCGCTTTTTTCGTCGTCTGCCGAGGTCTCCGGTCGTATAATGTTCCTTATCTTCATTAATAATCTCTTATTACGGATGCCCCTCTTCCCCTTTTATCCCTTATATCGGTTTCCTCCGATTTCCATGCAGCGCCAAAGCAGAATGGAACATCTGGTCGCGGTTTAACGTACAAAAAGAAATCTGTAATTAAAAATGTCAAGGAAGCAAGCAACTTTAAAACTTAATTCATTAAAAATGCAAAGCAGAGATTTCCATTCACGGGCAAACCTTCCAGATGAAAAGCTTGCAAATTTGACCTGATTTTTTGCCGGCAGACGGGACGATCTCGGTAATTAAAGCTCTTTAGACAAAAGGCAGAAATCGGCTGGGAGGGGTTTTTTTTTTATTATTATTGATTATTTTTTTTTTTGCTTGCTTTTAAAATAGTAGCAGGGAAAAAAAAAGAACAAAAGACAGAGATAATTGCGGTGCAAATGCAGTATGTTTGAGAAAGGAAACAAAATGCACAGAAATTGCTTTAGGAAATAAAAAATTCAACAATCCCGTCTCCCCAAAGTATAATATATTATTACAGCTGTTAACAGTGACAATTCTATATATACGTATGCAAATGTAATTATTATTTAAGCCTGCCTATATTTATTTCTAATATATTTGTAAAGCTTCTTTTTTTAACTTATTGTATTTTGCATAAATTTATTTATTTATTTCGCCCGGCTGTTGGCATTTTAGAACTGGGTCATAAGTACCGATTGGGGATTGTGTCCGTTGTAATTTCAAACAGTCACTAAGCCGCGGGTCATAAAATGAAGACTACTATATCTTTACTACATCTCCAGAAGAATGCTATCTTAAATTTAATTTAATAAATTTAATTATTTTAAATTTTAATTGCTGTTTTGTCTGTGTTTTTAAATAGGCTGTACACCGCCCTGAGTCCTTCGGGAGAAGGGCGGTATAGAAATAAAATTATTATTATTATTATTATTATTATTATTATTATTATTATTATTATTATTATTATTATTATTATTATTAAATCTTTTTCTTTACAAACATCATGTCCAATACATTCTAAATATCGTTTTTGTGGGATCATTGGTGCCCTCTGAGATCGATTGTTTTCTTGCAGAAGTTTCACTACCAAACTAGGTAACATCATCAGTGCTAGAAGGAAGAGGAGGAGGAAGTGGAAGTGGAAGTGGAAGTGGAGAAAGAAAATGAGGACTGTGGGTTCCTCGGTGCCCTCTGAGCTTGATTGTTTTCTTGTAGACCTTTCACTACCAAACTAGGTAACATCATCAGTGCTAGAAGGAAGAGGAGGAGGAAGTGGAAGTGGAAGTGGAAGTGGAGAAAGAAAATGAGGACTGTGGGTTCCTCGGTGCCCTCTGAGCTTGATTGTTTTCTTGTAGACCTTTCACTACCAAACTAGGTAACATCATCAGTGCTGGAAGGAAGAGGAGGAGGAAGTGGAAGTGGGAGTGGAAGTGGAGGAAGAAAATGAGGACTGTGTGTTCCTCGGTGCCCTCTGAGCTTGATTGTTTTCTTGTAGACCTTTCACTACCAAACTAGGTAACATCATCAGTGCTAGATGGGAGAGGAGGAGGAGAAGGAAGTAGAAGTGGAGGAAGAATATGAGGACTCTGTGGTCTTAAGTCGTAATTTAAGGCCCGTTGACCCTCTTGCTATAGGAGTTGAGACCTTCCCCTCTTTAGACAATACTGGAACTTTTATTCAACAAGCGATGTGGAAATAAGTGTGAAATCCGCAGTTGCGCATCAGTTTGCGAAGGCATGGCCATGATTTTTGAAAACCCGAACTGCGGCATTTTCCTCTTTCGCCAATGTGAGAACCCGAGCAATCTTGGGAAAACGCAGCCGTGTGTGGGCATCTTTTCTTTCTTCACTTTCTCGTGGTGAGAGAACCTGGGAGGGGAAGAGAGCATCGATGCTTACAGAATGCAAGATACGTTTATTTTCAATCAAGATCCAGCCAGCCTTCCATTCTGCTCCAGGGAGCGTTATGGGGAAGCACTTTTTCCGCTATATTAACACAATTCGAGACGTGCGGGAGAAGTTATAAATAAAGAAGCAATTTGCCCTAAATTCTCTTCCTTTTCACATCTCAGAAATCTTTTTATTTATTTATTTTTGGGTAGTTTTCTGCTTTCTGTGCATTTAACCGTCCCTCTGCTGTTCTTCCTTTCCATGAAATTTTAATGCCTTATTATTTCTGCCACTTGTTAAATCCTTCAGCTGTCACCGGTGACAGATAGCTCCTTTCTCTGAGTTTTTTTTTGTTTTTGTTTTTCTCATTTGGGAGGAATTTTTTTTTTTTGCTTTAATTTATATGCTGCCCTTCTCCAGAGACTCAGGGCGGCTTACAATGCGTTAAGCAATAGCCTTCATACTTTTGTATATTTATACAAAGTCAGCTTATTGCCCCCACAATCTGGATCCTCATTTTACCTACCTTAGAAAGGATGGAAGGCTGAGTCAACCTTGAGCCTGGTGGGATTTGAACTCGCAGTAATTGCAAGCAGCAGATGTTAATAACAGTGCATTAGTCCACTGTGCTACCAAGGCCCACTTTAAAATCTCCCTTCAGTCTGGCAAAATAAAATATCCCGTAAGAGAGTTTTCCGCGAGCATAATAAGCCACGAAGTTCTGCGGGAAATTCCCTGAAGAGTTTCAAACTGTTCATGAAAGTCCACATTCAGACCTGGATGTGATCAGTGGGGCAGCCCCTTTAAAAGAGGAAGGCAGTGGCTTTTTAAAAAGAGGGATTTGGGGGTGTGCAGGCAGTCCTTGACTTACGGCAGTTCATGTTGTGGCCCGCCAGCGGTCAGCAGAGCTGGCAGCAGATTCAAACAGTGAGGAGGTTGGGGAGGAACATGGGCCAGTCCTGGAGTCTGGGGAAGGCTCGGATGAGGGCTCTGCGTCGGAGGCAGAGAGCGGGCCAGGGCCGTCTGATAGTTGTCAGCTGCCTTCGGAGTCAGACATCAGTGAGGTAGAGGAACAGCTGGAGCCTGTTCCCAGTCTGCGCATATGCAGAGCTGCCAGGAGAAGGGAACAGCTAAGGAACAAGGGCCGACTCAGGAGTAAAGCCACAGGTGGACGGTACTGATATTATTTCTTTCTTTCTTTCTTTCTTTCTTTCTTTCTTTCTTTCTTTCTTTCTTTCTTTTCTTTCTTTCTTTTCCTTACTTACTTACTTACTTACTTACTTACTTACTAGTTCAATTTATATGCTGCCCTTCTCCGAAGACTCAGGGCAGCTTACAATGCACTTATAGCAATAGCTTTCATTCTTTTGTATATACCTGATTATTAGGGCTTTTGGCCCCCCACCATAAGCGATGTTTCTACAAAGACAGTTTATTGCCCACACAATCCGGGTCCTCAATTTACCTATCTCAGAAGGATGGAAGGCTTGAATCAACCTTGAGCCTGGTAAGATTTGAACTTGCACTAATTGCAGGCAGCTGGCAGCTAAGTCAATATCAATATAATATCAATATAATAGGATAATCTTGCAACTCCAAAAGAAAAAGTGGTATTATTAGCCATCAAATCTCAGAAATGCACTTTTCCACAATTTTGGCCACTACTGTAGTGATTGATTGATTGATTGATTGATTGATTCGATTTATATGCCACCCTTCTCCAGAGACTCAGGGCGGCTTACAATGCGTTAAGCAATAGCCTTCATACTTTTGTATATACCTGCTTAGTAGGGCTTTCGATAGATGGATGGATGGATGGATGGGTGGAGAAGCTAATACTTTCATTACATTCAGTGAAGTGTAACGGTGGCCTCCTTCCTTCCTTCCTTCCTTTCTTTTTTCCAGCAACAGCTGCAGTCCTACATCACCTGGGTGAATTCACAGCTAAAGAAGAAGCCAGAAGTTCAACCGGTGCAGGATTTGAGACGCGACCTCCGCGATGGCGTGGTCCTCGCCTCTCTCATTGAGATCGTAGGTGAGTAGCCTCCTTGCAAAGACTTTGGGATGGTTTTCGGGGCTCAGAGTCCTGGATTTAACCTGGATTAAGAGGGAGGAGCAGAGAAATGGTGCCGGAGATCACCGTTCCCCTCCCGCCTGTTTGCCATACTTACATTTCACTTAAACGGGGGAATTCTGGGAGTTGAAGGTTTTTTTTTTTTATTATTATAAGGGTGGTATAGAAATAAAATTATTTATTTATTTATTTTATTTATTTATATGCCACCCTTCTCCGGAGATTCAGGGCGGCTTACAATGCGTTAAGCAATAGCCTTCATAAAGTCAGCTTATTGCCCCCACAAACTGGGTCCTCAATTTACCTACCTTGGAAAGGATGGAAGGCTGAGTCGACCTTGAGCCTGGTGAGATTCGAACTTACAGTAATTGCAGGCAGCTGGTGTTAATCACAATGCTATCAGTCTGCTGAGCCACCAGGTTCAAGACTGTACTGGCAGTCCTCGACTTAACGGCCACAGCTGAGCCCCAGAAATTCTGTGGTTAAGTGAGACATTTCTCAAGCGGGTTTTGCCCCATTTTACAACCTTTCTTGCCACGGTTGTTAAGTGAGTCGCTGCGGTTGTTAAGTCAGTAGTACGGTTGTTTAAGTGGATCTGGTTCTCCCCATTGACTTTGCTTGTCGGGAGGTCGCAAAAGGGGATCACGTGATCCCGGGGACACGGCGACTGAATTTTGGGATCACGTGACCGTGGGGAACGCTGCCACGGTCGTAAGTGTGAAAAACGGTCATAAGTCAATTTTTTTCAGTGGCTGTTGTAACTTCGAACGGTCACTAAATGGACCGTTGTAAGTCGAGGATTACCTGTAGTAGCTTTTTGATGCTCCAAGAAGAGAACAAAATATATTTTATATATTCACAGTGGCATCCTTAGGCCAAGGAAGGGGTGTGGGGAGGTTGACCATTGTCGTCCTGCCAGACTCCATACCTGCAGGGTTAAGAGTTGCCCTAAAATTTGGCTGCTCCTCCTCTCTTGCAGCTGGAGAGAAACTCAGTGCCGTGGAGGAGTCGCCCACCAACCAGCAGGCCATGAAGGAGAACGTGGAAAAAGTCCTACAATTCGTGGCGTCCAAGAAGATCCGCATGCACCAGACCTCGGCTAAAGGTGAACCTCAACCTCAACTGTTAACCTTGAAGGGCCTGGGTATTCCAGTCCTGTTCTGCCCCAGCTGCGGACCCCAAAGAACGCAGCGACACACAAATACCGTTCACAAAGTTTATTGAATAAACCAGTTTTTTACAACAACGGCTGTTAATTAATTGCATTAACAGCCGCCAAGAATTCAAAGAATAATAACCGAAAGCTTACTGTGGTTGGCAGAATGCCCAGAAGCAATTTGCAGGAAGCTGATAAGATAAGCAAGACAAGACACGAAGGTATGTGAACGGAGTTGTTCTCTGCAAATTGCTGCAGTCGGCGTTCCTCATTAAATAGGCTAAGGGAGTGGCCAATTAGCTCCAAGCCTTACTCTCAAGGAGACCTCCTCCTGAGGAGCCACTCCTGCCTTTTGGCAGCTCTGCGCGTCCGTGCATCGAGAAGAGGCTCCTCCTCTTCTTCCTCTTCACTTATGGGAGCTTCTGGAGGTTCTGAAGGCCCTGGCTGAATCCCTGCCTCTGGCACCACATCTTCTCCAGCCTCCTCATTGTCCGACTCGAGTGCCAGCTGCACAGGCTGCTGGTGCAGCACCACACCAGCCTCCTCGCTGTCTGAATCAGCTACTAGCTGCACAGGCCACTGACTTAAGGAGGAACTTAAGGAGGAACGCCGACTGAAGCAATTTGTAGGGAACAACTTTAGCTCACTCTCCTTCGCGTCTGGATTCTCTGCAAATTGCTTCTGGGCTTTCTGCCAACCTTAGTAAGATTGTGATTACTTTATCTTTGGTTTCTTGTAGGCCGTTAAGAAAGTTTATTAACAGCCTTTGTTTTGAAAAAGACTGAGTTATTTTAGTAAATTAAGTTTTGTACAAACTTTGTGCGTGCTGCGTTCTTTGGGATCCGTAGCTGGGGCAGAACAGCTTCCCTTGATCAGCTCACGACCATTTTGGCATATTTGTGTCTTCTAGATATCGTGGACGGGAATCTGAAATGCATCATGAGGCTGGTCCTTGCGCTGGCCGCTCACTTTAAGCCTGGATCCGGCAAAATCGCTTCACCAGGAACCGTGGAAGAGATCCAGGGGGGAAGCAGAATCTTGCTGGCCCATCACAGGTCTCGCTCGGCCGTAGCTGTTGCCCAGGAGGCGGTGGCCGCCCTGGCAGAGGTCCGCCAGGATGTCTCGGGAGTGGGCCGTGATGCCTTCCAGCCTCACCCCAGGTACGTGATCTGCAGCAAAAACGACACTTCGATATTTACAAGTAGTTCTTGGCTTAGAACCATTCACTTAGTGACCGTTTGAAGCTACAGTGGCATTGAAAAAAGTGACCGATGACCAGTTCACCATCCCTACAACGGTTACATGGTGAAAATTTGGGTGCTAAACACCCTATTTATGATCATTGCAGCCTCCGGGGGTCATATATTGGAGCCGTGGTGGCGCAGTGGTTAGAGTGTGGTACTGCAGGCTCCTTCTGCTGACTGCCGGCTGCCTGCAATTTGGTAGTTTGAATTTCACTGGCTCAAGGTTGACTCAGCCTTCCATCCTTCCAAGGTGGGTAAAATGAGGACCCAGATTGTTGGGGGGCAAGAGGCTGACTCTGTAAACCGCTTAGAGAGGGCTGTAAAAGCACTGTGAAGCGGTCTATGAGTCTTAAGGGCTATTCCTTCCTTCCTTCCTTCCTTCCTTCCTTCCTTCCTTCCTTCCTTCCTTCCTTCCTTCCTTCCTTCCTTCCTTCCTTCCTTTTTCCCTCCCTCCCACCCTCCCTATGGTTAGAATGCAGTATTTCAGGCTAAATCTGCCAATTCCCAGGAGATCGATCCTGACTGGCTCAAGGTTGACTCAGCCCCCCATCCTTCCGTGGTGGGTAAAATGAGGACCCAGATTGTTGGGGGGCAAGAGGCTGACTCTTTAAACTGCTCAGAGAGAGCTGTAAAGCACTTTTGAAAACCAACCACCGGATGGAGAGGAAAGGATGCAGAGGGGAAAGCATTTTGTCTCTCTCTTTTTGGGGCGCTCTGGCCTTCCCTCCTGACGGTGCCGTCCTTCTCTCTAGAAACAGCCAGCTGCACGGAGAGATTGAGCGGCCGCACTGGAGTGTCCGAGCGCTCGTCCAGCAGTACGAAGGCCAGCAGAGCAGTGGCCCTTCAGAGTCCTCTTTCTCCAGGTAAGAGATGCTCCCCTTCCTCTACTCACTCCTTCGTCACCCCTAGGAACCTGTTCTATCCCCGTACCCCACACGCACCCCCACAGACGGCCCGGAGTTAATAAGCCACACGACAAAACTCTTTGAAGATAAAGCTGGCAGCGACCCAGTGGCTAGCTGCCAATTCAGACTTTACTCACACAAAACAAAGATTAGACTGCCAGCATTCCGATAAAACAGGCAGAGTTTCAACAATACAAGGATTAATCCAAATGCAATCCGATAAAGCAGGCAAAGTCCAGTAACACAGAGATCATGGGGTATTTCCAGTTTTTGCTCGTCACAAACTGAACCGGCCACCACACCCACATTTATATCCTGTGGGGTGTGGTCCAGTGACTCAGCTAATCTCTGGCACGCCTTCCCCTCTGCTGCGCACACTTCTCCCTGCGCCTCTGCCGAGGGTCCAGCCAGCACTTATCTCCTTCGTCGCTGTCCACCTGTGGCTGCGGGGACGTGCTTGGCTCTGAGCCTATCGTTTGGCCTTTGGTGTCCTCCGGAGGCATTGCCAGAGAGGAGGGTCCTGGAGAGGGAGGCCTTGCCAACTCCTCTCCCTCACTCTCAGAGTCTGCATCTGTCGATAGCCCAGACTCAGGCAACGGAGCCACAACAGAACCTGGAGTAAGTCCACAGGAGTGGGAGTGACCTTGGTTCCCAGGAGGAAGCCTTTTGTTTTGGCTACAAAACCCCAGCTATCACTATTGCCCCCTCCCTATCCCTGAGCTCCAGTGTGACAACACTGAAGCTTCAAAATGGCTTCGGTCAGGTCAGTTTCAGGGCGGGCAGTCCTCATGGTTTCTGCCTGCCGGCACTCACCTTTGTCGTTTTGTCGGGATGCCCTTGTTGAAATCCTTGTTCAGTCCTGTCTTCGGAACCGAGACGGTTTCCCAGTTTGCATGCTCTGTTCGTCTCCCTGCGTTCAGGGATCCAAATAACTTTTCGCTAGGTGCCACTTCTGGCTTTCCATAATGCGTGGGTTCCTTGGGGGTCTTTTTTTGGGGGGGGGCATTTATAATTCACCAGCAGGTTCTGAGAAGAGTTCCTACAACTGACTTTTTGCTCTGGGAAACATGAAACGGGGGAAAAAGCAGTGGTGAAATCCAATTTTTTAAACTACCGGTTCTGTGGGCGTGGCTTGGTGGGCGTGGCAGGGGAAGGATACTGCACAATCCCCATTCCCACCCCACTCCTGGGGGAAGGATATTGCAAAATCCACATTCCCACCCCATTCCTGGAGGAAGGATACCGCAAAATCTCCATTCACACCCCACTCCTAAAGGAAGGATATTGCAAAATCTCCATTCCCACCCCACTCCTGGAGGAAGGATACTGCAAAATCCCCATTCCCACCCCACTCCTGGGGGAAGGATATTGCAAAATCCACATTCCCACCCCATTCCTGGAGGAAGGATACTGCAAAATCCACATTCCCACCCCACTCCTGGAGGAAGGATACTGCAAAATCTCCATTCACACCCCATTCCTGGAGGAAGGATACTGGAAAATCCCCATTCCCACCCCACTCCTAAAGGAAGGATATTACAAAATCTCCATTTCCACCCCACTCCTAAAGGAAGGATATTGCAAAATCCCCATTCCCACCCCACTCCTGGAGGAAGGATACTGCAAAATCCCCATTCCCACCCCACTCCTAAAGGAAGGATATTGCGAAATCTCCATTCCCACCCCACTCCTGGGGGAAGGATATTGCAAAATCTCCATTCCCACCCTACTCTGGGGCCAGCCGGAGGTGGTATTTGCTGGTTCTCCGAACTACTCAAAATTTCCGCTACCGGTTCTCCACAACCTGTCAGAACCTGCTGGGTTTCACCCCTGGGAAAAAGCGAGGAGAGGACTGGTTGCATCTTTTCTAACTAACCCAATTTGGTAAAAATGGAGTTGTGAGGAGGAAAACTAGGTTTTGTTGCTGTTATGGGAACCCCCCCCCCCCCCGGGCTTTTAGTCACCGTTCATCCTGCAGTATGGGCTCATTTTCAGCCTTTCGCCAGCCCGGAGCACCTCTTGGCCTCCGTCTAATGTGGCTTTGGCCCTTCCCAGGTTTTGTAAATGTTCCATCCCTTTCCCCAAAATTCTCATCATCCCTGCAAGGATAGAAAAATAAGAATTCCTCGCCAACTTTATAAGCAGTTGCTTTGGGATAGGCGGGCTAGTGAGTAAAACCCACCTTTGTGTAAGAATGGTTTTGCTTTTGCGGCTGTGGGTTTGGCAGACGTGGGATGAAAAAAATGGAGAATTGCGTCAAGGATGTGAGAGAGAGAGAGACAGAGAGAGGGACCTCTGGCACAGGAGATGGCAGGATGTGTAATTAGGGTGTAATTGTGGCTTTTTGCTACGAAGGCCCCATCAAGGGGGCTATAAAGCAGAGGTCTCCAACCTTGGCAATTTTAAGACTTGTGGACTTCTGGGAGTTGAAGTCTACAAGTCTTAAAGTTGCCAAGGTTGGAGACTCCTAGCTAAGGAATTCTGGGAGTTGAAGTCTACAAGTCTTAAAGTTGCCAAGGTTGGAGACTCCTAGCTAAGGAATTCTGGGAGTTGAAGTCTACAAGTCTTAAAGTTGCCAGGGTTGGAGACTCCTAGCTAAGGAATTCTGGGAGTTGAAGTCTACAAGTCTTAAAGTTGCCAAGGTTGGAGACTCCTAGCTAAGGAATTCTGGGAGTTGAAGTCTACAAGTCTTAAAGTTGCCAAGGTTGGAGACTCCTAGCTAAGGAATTCTGGGAGTTGAAGTCTACAAGTCTTAAAGTTGCCAAGGTTGGAGACTCCTAGCTAAGGAATTCTGGGAGTTGAAATCTACAAGTCTTAAAGTTGCCAGGGTTGGAGACTCCTAGCTAAGGAATTCTGGGAGTTGAAGTCTACAAGTCTTAAAGTTGCCAGGGTTGGAGACTCCTAGCTAAGGAATTCTGGGAGTTGAAGTCCACAAGACTTAAAGTTGCCAATGTTGGAGACCCCTGCTATACAGGGACCTGGCCTCTACTCTGCAGCTGCCTGAGTAATTAGTAGTTCTCCTTGGAAATCAGATCCTGGGATCATGAAGAAAGCTCTTGAGTTCATTTAGGACCCCTGGGCTAAAGAGGGGCTGCCTTGACACTTCTCCCCTTCAGAGGAGACCGAGAGGCCGGCCGTTCCCTGCACAGGAGCTCATTAAAAATAGGGCACGCTGCATTTCACAGGAATTAAAGGGAGTGGTCCAGCCTCCTGGCTCCCATCCAGGTTGGATAATTACAATTTGCCCCCCACCGGTCGCTCGGCTGCCCTTCCTCCGTTTCTCTCCTGAACCTGGCCAGTATCCCAGGAACGTTTCTTGCTACCTGAATACAATAGAATAACCGAGTTGGAAGGGACCTTGGAGGACATCTAGTCCAACCCCCTGCTTAGGCAGGAAACTCTACACCACTTCAGACAAATGGTTGTCCAACATCTTATTTAAAATCTTCCAGTGTTGGAGTATTCACAGCTATCTTGTGTCCATTGCAAAGGGGTCTCTTTGTCCCGTCATAATATCTATAATATTCTATAATATTCTATAATATGCATTGTTCTTATCTACACCTTTATATGTGTTTATATTTACATCTCTTTATTTAATGTTGTTCAGTTACTTTTTAAGTTTCATCAATATTAAGTTAAACGTTTCTTGTTCTGATTTCTGTTTTCGAACCAACTGTACATTTTATTCCATATTTCATAATATTCCGAATCCTCTCTCTCTTTCAACTCCCACAGTCATTTTATCCATCTCTGCGCATTCGAGAATTTTCCTAGAATTTTCTCCTCGTTTCGTCCGAGGAGACTTTTTTTTTTTTCCATTTTTTTTTGCGAATGCGATTCTTGCTGCAGTAAGTATGCGCAATATAATGTATGGAAGGTTTTTGAAACCAGCCGCGATTCTAAACCCTTTGCCAGGCGGAGAAGATGCCCTGTTTGGGCACGGACGAACTCGGCCCTTGGTGTCTGGGGAGCGCGAAGGAGGAATTTGAGAACTTGATGAGCTTACGGTAGATCTCTGGGTGGCTAAGCGGGATCTCTCCCTTTGTAATCCGTCTGACTGGCTGTAATCCGTCCGCAGGATTAACTTGCCTCCGCACTTAACGCAGCAGCAGGAAAGTTGACGACAAAGTACCCGCAATTTATGTATTTCTTTGTTTAGAAGTACAAGTACGACAATTCGTTTAACGACTGTCTGAAGTTACAATGGCACTGAAAACAGGGACTCAACGATCGTTTTTCACACTTATGACCCCTGCAGCATCCCCCATGTCACGTGATCCAAAATTCAAACTCTTGGCAACTGACTCCTATTTATGACCGTCGCATTGTTCCCGGGGGTCACGTGATTCCCTTTTGCCACCTTCTGACGAGTGAAGTCAACTCATTTAAGAACTGCATTGATTCACTTAACAACTCTGGCAAGAAAAGCCCTTCCTCCTTCCCCCTTCTACCGCTGATGATGTTACCTAGTTGGGTCATGAAACGTCTGCAAGAAAAAACAACATCAACCTCAGAGAGCGCCAAAAATCACCATCACCTCCTCTTCCTCTTCTTCCTCCTCCTCCCTCCTCCTCCTCCTCCCCCTCCTCCTCTTCCTTTTCCTCTTCTTCCTCCTCCCCCTCCCCCTCCTCCATCTTCCTTCTGCTCTTCCTCCTCTTCCTCCCCCCCTCCTCTTCCTCTTCCTCCTCCCCCTCCCTCTCCTCCTCTTCCTCTTCTTCCTCTTCTTCCTACTCCCCCTCCCTCTCTTCCATCTTCCCTCTCTTCCTCTTCTTCCTCCACCCCTCCTCCTCCTTTCCCCTCTTCCTCCTCCTCTTCCTCCCCCCTCCTCTTCCTCTTCCTCCTCCCCCTCCCTCTCCTCCTCTTCCTCTTCTTCCTCCTCCTCCTCCCCCCTTCTCCTCCTCTTCCTCCTCCTCCTCTTCCTCCTCCCCCCTCCCTCTCCTCTTCCTCCTCTTCTTCCTCCTCCTCCTCCTCTTCCTCCTCCTCCCTCCCTTCCTCTTCTCTTGGCAGGCAGAGGTGTAAATATCCAAGAGCTCCCAATATCAATCCTCATAAAATCATTCGGATGGCAAGATTAAGGTTTCTTCCAACTGTCTTTCTTTGCACTTCCCTTCACCTTGAAGCATTTCTCTCGGTCTGGTCCAGCTGTATCTCTTTGGCATTTTTGGTGTGTGTGTGTGTGTGTTGGGTATCTTAGCAATGAAGGCTGTTGCCAGCACTGAATAAGGAATGGAGCATAACTGCCAGGCGCAGCGTATTTCATGCCTGCCAGCCCAGAGCTGCCTTTATCCAGCTGCAGAACACGGACAGGGCATCACATTGGGGGGGGGGGCTTTGACCGGCTTGGGTGCGGCCCTCCCCCCACCCCAGCCCCGCTCCCAGCAAGGATTAAGGGGATGTCTGGGGGTGGGGGTGGGAAGTGGTGGTCCTGTGAAGCCCATTTTCGCTGCTTTGCATCCAGCATCGCCCAGCTTCTCAAATGACGTTGCGTTCGCATGCGTTGTGGGTCGCTGTATAAAACACAACAGGTTGGTGCGTGTGTCTCTCTGCAGTTGGCAGCTGCCGCACTCCCTCCTCAGTCTCCCAAACGATCCCCGTCTTTCTCCTCTCCCCCCACACATCCCCGCCCCCCCCACCAGGAGAAAATAAGCCCAAATCTGGCAAAGGAGCGCCTGGAAAGGGCAGGTCTGAAATGCAGAAGGGTCTGTGCAGGGGCTTTGATCCGCTCCCCTCCCCTCCCCCTCCGCCCCTCCCTCCCCCCCCCAGGGGAGGTGGGCACACAGAGCAAAAATCCTTTGCACCTCAGGGACACAATGAAGGTGTGTGTTTGTCTGTGTGCCCGCACAGGGCATCTCTTCCCCAGGGTGGCTTGTAAATATTTTTTTGGGTGGTGTTAACCTTCCAGGGGAAGGGAAGGCAGCGGTCGTGAGTGACTCACAACAGCCCTGGCCAAATCCTGCTGCTTTTCCCAGGCAGCTCCCTCCCTCCCTCCCCTCTTTTCCCTCCCCTCCATCGTCCACGGCTTAGACAACTCGGGGAGAAACGCAGCTGCCTCGCACAGCCCCAGTGACAGCAGAGCTGCAGAGAGAGCAACACACCACATACGTGTGCATACACATACTTTGCGGGTGTGTGCATTCCCACCTCGGCCAGGGAGTGGGGGGCTGGCTCCGTGCCACCCCACGCGACCCACCGGGGCCTGGATCCTTCGTCTCAATTGGGCTCTCGGCTGAGAAGGGAATCGGCTGCTGTCCGGGATGGGATGAGAAAGGAGACACAGACTGCTGGCTGTCTCCCTCTCTCTCTCTCTCTTGGGGCTGCCAAAAGGAATTTGGGCATGCGTCAGACCCGCAACGCAACAGTGCAAAACAAAACAACATCCCGGCTGAGCTGAGAAACACGGGGCCGGCCGTCCCGGGGACTGCCTGGGTTTCCAACTCCCCTTCCGAAGAAGAAGCGAGGGAGACGGACGACTTCGGCATCCTTCCTGCTCGCCACGACTCCGTGTCCCAATCCGGACATCATCGACCTGACCTGGTCCGAAAGGTTTTGGCCAACCTCCGTGGCACAGAAGGTTGGCGGAGGGATGTGGCATGTGAAGATCCAGGCTGGCCAGGAGACGGGCTCTGGGGCAGAGCCAAATTCGGAACATGGGAGGGAAGCCGGTGAAATGGTGAGCCTTCCTTTGGCACGGATGCTTTCACGCGGGGCGAAGAGAGAGGGGGGGAGAACAGACTGCAGGGGGGGTGGCACGATGGTCGAGGGAGCAGGGCCCTTGTGAAAATTGGGCAAGGGTGGGGTGGGGGGGCTCGGTGGTCCTTCCTGAGTTGCTTTTCCGGGCCATTTCTAAAAATTCCACTTCAGCTTGGGTGCAGCTCCGTCTCCCTTCCTCCTCCTCCCCCCCCCCCCCCCCCGGCAAGGAATTAAGCAGGGCAGTTCCTTAGGCTATAAATCTGTGCTGGAATGGGTTTGATTTTTTTTCTTCCTTTTTTTTGCTTTCTCTGCAGTTTTAGCAATTCAAGATGATGAATCGGTTCTCTTCTCTCTCTCTTCCCTTCCAAGACATAAATTGCAAAAGCTTCTTGCCTCTCCTTTCCCCCCACCCCCCATTGAGACCCTGATGCGAAGGACCCTGGCTCCATGGGAATTGGGTGGCCTGAGGAGTGGAGATGGATGTGTGGAAAGTCTTGAGCTTCAGGGGAGGGGGGGTTTGGGGAAGTCAGGGGTCAGTACGGTCAAAAGGTCTGGAAGTGGGATGTGGTAAGGTGGGCACCGACTTACAGGACTGCCTACTACCACCAATAGCCCCCCATCGGCCGGTACGCTCCCATAGAGAGGGGCTCCTCCGGGTGTCGTCGGCCAGACAGTGTCGACTGGCGGCCCCCAGGGGGAGGGCCTTCTCTGTGGGGGCACCCACTATCTGGAACAAGCTCCCCCCGGAGATACGGAGGATCCCCGGATCTGCGCACCTTCCGTCGCGCTCTAAAGACCTTCCTATTCCAGCAAGCTGGCCTGGCCTAACCCTTTCCCCCCCCCCCTTTTCTTTTAAATTGAAAAATTTAAATCTGTTTTTAAATTATTGGGATGTTTTAAATTTGTCTCGGGCTAAATGGTTTAATTTCTGCTTTTAAATTTTGCATTTATGTGTTTTATTGTGTGCCTGTTCACCTCCCTGAGTCCTTCGGGAGTAGGGCGGTATATAAATCTAATAAAACAAACAAATAAAACAAACTTGCTTCTCTAGCCTTGTGGGAGAACGTGGGTGGGTTGAAGGGTTGTTGGGAATGCTCTTGAGGGGGATCTGTGTGGATCCTACTTGGCTTCTCCGTGGAGGAGAAGGGGGATTTCTGGGGGTGCACGATGCCACTCCTGCCCTTCGAAGACACCTGGTCAACAGCTCCATCCCGTGACCCTTGGTCTTTGCTGTTGTCACCTGCTGGCGTCCCACCTGGATTGCTGTGGGTTCAAGAGAAGGTGGACAATTGGGCAGGAATGAAGTTTGCATACAATGCGATGAACATTCATTTCCTTATTAATGCACAACTGAGCCGGGAGAGCGGTGGCCTTTCGCAGCCTTTTAAAAATACAGTTTCCTCTTAGGCTAGGGGGACGTTGCCATGGGGTTGTTGCAGAAACAAAACATTCAAGGTGTTTGCCCCTCCTAGCATTAATCGGAAGAGAGCCGGAAGGGACCTTGGAGGTCTTCTAGTCCAACCCCCTGCTTAAGCAGGAGACCCCGTACCGATCCAGACAAGTGGCTCTCCAGTCTCTTTTTAAAAACCTCCAGTGATGAAGCACCCACAACTTCTGAAGGCAAACCGTCCCACTGACTAATAAACCAATAACACAGTCGGAAGGGACCTCAGAGGTCTTCTAGTCCACCCCCTGCTCAAGCAGGAGGCCCTATATCTGTGATGGCGAACCTATGGCACGTGGAGCCAGATCTGTGGGCATGCGAGCGTTGCCCTAGCTCAGCTCCAGCGCGCATGTGCACGCTGGCCAGCTAATTTTTGGGCCTTCTGGGCCCACCGGAAGTCGGGAAATGGTCCGTTTCCGGCCTCCGGAGGGCCTCTGGGGGGTGGCAAAGGCCGTTTTTTGCCCTCCCCAGGCTCCTAGAAAGCTTCTGGAGCCTGGGGAGGGCGAAAAACGGGCCTACCGGGTCCACTGTGCCATCGCGTGCCAAAAGCGGGGAAAGTGTGTGTGGGGGGTGCATGCATACGCGGGGGTGTGGGAGGCATTGAATTATGGGCATGGACACGCGTGTGCGTGACCCCCCCTGCGCTCCCCCCATTTTTGGCACGTGATGGCACAGTGGGCCCATTTTTTCGCCCTCCCCAGGCGCCAGAGGCTTTCTAGGAGCCTGGGGAGGGCAAAAACGGCCTTCGCCACCCCCAGGAGGCCCTCTGGAGGCCGGAAACAGCCCATTTCCCGACTTCCGGTGGGCCCCAAAAGGTTCGCCATCCCTGCCCTAGATCATTCCAGACAAACGGCTGTCCGATCTCTTCTTAAAAACCTCCAGTGATGGAGCACCCACAACTTCTGGTGGCAAGTCGTTCCACGGGTTAATCGTCCTCACTGTTAAGGAGGTTTCTCCTTAATTCCAGGTTTGCTTCTTTCCTCGATTGGTTAAAATTATAAATTAGTTTAGAATAAACCTTGCTCTGCTGCCGCTGGATGTGAAAACCCCTGTGCCAAGCGTGTCCTCCTCCTTTTAAGAGAAGGTTGCCACTGACCAGGGTGTCAGCTGTACGTTTGAGGATCCCTAAGATTAAAGGATGTGTGTGATTCGCACCCTGAGCTTCCTCGTTCCTGTTGCACTGAGATTAGCAGCCTGCAGCAAAGGGGAAACTCCAGGGCTTGGTGTGCAAAGTGCAGGAACGTGGCGTGGCATACTAGCAGCGTGGGAAAATGGGTGTCAACCACGAGAAACCACGAGTTGCAGGAGAGATAACACCCCAGGATTTGAACCCGTTGCTTTTTCGTGTCGGAATGGGACGCCCCCAAAACTGACCATCCTCCAGTGGGTGAGATGCTTTGTATATATGGTCCCGGTGTGCGATACGAGGCCCACACGACACCCACACCCACCCGGGCTCAGCCGTGGGAGCCGACTCGTCCCTCTCGGGAAGATTGGGAAAGCGAGCTGGGAAAGGGGTCTCCCATCTTTGTTTTCTCGCCTCTCTCTCTCTCGTTCGGTTAATCCCATTTTTTCCCCTTGATTTCCCTTTTGTCCCGGGTATCTTTGTTGCTCTGTCTGGGAAAATGGTACATTAACTCTTGCTCACACTCGCAAGGGGGAATTCTTTGGGGATGCGTTAAATGGGTCAGTGCCTTCGGATGCCTTCCCCTGTTGTCTGGGAGATGCCGGCTGGGAGAATTGCCCTCGGGTGGGGAAGAGGGGTTCAGGGTGGGATGCTCCTCTGAGGAAGCCCCTGAAAATACTGTCCCCCCACTTTTCTCTCTCTCCATTTCTTCCTCTTTCCCTCTCTCCTCCTCCCCGTCTCCCTATCTCTCCTTTTCTCTCCTCCCTCTCCCTCCTTCCCTCTCTCCATTTCTCTCTCTCTTCCTCTCTCTCTCTCCATTCTCTCTCTTCCTCCTTCCCTCTCTTTCCCTCTCTTCTTCTCTCCCTCTCTCCCTACTCTCCATTTCTTTTCTCCCTCTCCCTCTCTTCCTCCTTCCCTCTCTCCATTTCTCTCTCTCTCCATTTATCTCTCCCTCTTCCTCCTTCCCTCTCTTTCTTTCTTTTTCCCTCTGTCCTTCTCTCCCTCTCTCCTACTCTCCATTTCTTCTTTTCTCCCTCTCTCCCTCTCTCCATTTCTCTCTCTCCCTCTTCCCTCTCTTTCCCTCTCCCCATCTCTCTCCTTTTCCTCCTCTCCCTCCTTCCTTCTCTCCGCCTCTCTCTCTCCCTCTCTTCCTCCTTCCCTCTCTTTCTCTCTCTCTTTCTCTCCCTCTCTCCTACTCTCCCTCTCTTCTTTTCTCCCTCTCCATTTCTCTCTCCCTCCTTCCCTCTCTCCTCTCCCTCTCTCTCTGTACAGTGAGATGTAAAGGTAGGACCAGAAATGGCTTTGCTAATTTGCGTGGGAGGAGGGGGCTTGACTGACAGGTCTGAGCCTCATGGAAGGGGGCAGAAGGATCTCTTGGGAGATGATCCTCTTTAAGCCATTCTGGGCCCTTCTGCAGCTCCCGGTCCATGAACTTCAGACTGCCTTGACTCGTTCTTAAAGACATTCCCCACGCTGGTTGGGGAATTCTGGGAGTTGAAGTCCAACCATCTTCAAGTTGAGAAACAGGGTCCATCCAAGGTCACTTGAGGACTGCCACCTTCTGGGACGAAGAGGGGTCTTCCGGATTGTATTGGATGGGCCTGTTGACAGGAGGGCCTTTTAAGTCTTAACTGAGCTTTTTCTTGGCAGGACGTGTCATTTCAGGTCCAGGAAAGTGACATATTCAAGCAGAATTGGTACCACTGCCCCCCCCCCACTCATAACTCCTTGTTTTGTGCCTCTGCCCCCAGCCTCACCTCTCCTAGCCCCATCAACAGTGCAAAGAGTGAATCGGGCAGCACCCCTTCCGAGGACAAGGCGGGGTTTGACCTTGGCCACGACGAAGAAGATGGAGAAGAAAAAGTAGGAGCCAGGACAGGTAAGGACAAGGATCTTCCTACCCAGGAATTTGAGAGTTGAATCTCTCCGTCCGTCCGTCCGTCCGTCCATCCATCTATCTATCTATCTCTCTATCTATCCGTCCACCTACCTACCTACCTACTGTATCTATTATCTATCATCTATCTCATCTTTCTGTATCAGATTACAGATTAACAGAGTTGGAAGGGACCTTGTAGGTCATCTAGTCCAACCCCCTGCCCAAGCAGGAGACCCTACACCGTTTCTGACAAATGGTAGTCCAATCTTTTCTTGAAAGTATCTATCTATCTATCTATCTATCTATCTATCTATCTATCTATCTATCTATCTCTCTCTCTCTCTCTCTCTCTCTCTCTATCTTTCTTTCTTCTATCTATCTTTCATCTATATCTTCTTTCTTTTCTTTCTTTCTCTTTTCTTTCTTTCTTTCTTTCTTTCTTTCTTCTTTTCTTTCTTTCTTCCATCCATCTATCTATCTATCTATCTATCTACCTTTCTTTCTTTCTTTCTTTCTTTCTTCTATCTTTCTTTCATCTATCTGTCTTTCTTTCTTTCTTCTATCTATCTTTCTTTCTTTCATCTATCCATCTATCTTTCTTTCTTTCATCTATCTATCTTTCTTTCTTTCGTCTATCTTTCTTTCTTTCATCTATCTTTCTTTCTTTCTTCTTCCTTCCTTCCTTCCTTCCTTCCTTCCTTCCTTCCTTCCATCCATCCATCCATCCATCCATCCATCCATCCATCCATCCATCTATTCTATCTATCTATCTATCTATCTATCTATCTATCTATCTATCATTTAAATTTATGTGGCTGCCCATCTCCAATACGGGTGGATGGCTACTAACAGTCAGAAAAACAATATTAAAAAAAAACCAGATAAAAATCATATCAATGTTAATCAACACATTCGTCCCTCACGATGACTTTTCCATCGTGTTTTCCTGGTGCTGTTTCTTGCTTTGGGTAAGAACATGGACTGGCTGAATAAGGGAGTCCGTTTAAAAATGCTGACACTCATTCAAAAGAAGGGGTCCTTCCTTGAGTTTGGCAGCCTGCTTTTAAAAACAGATCCTGTCAATAGCCAGATCATTTATTGGAACTGGATCTGAAGGCGTCTCCAACATGTAGAGAAGCCTGCTGTGGAACAGATGTGTCCTTCCCCCAAAAAACAGAAAAAGAATATTCAGAGTGATGGTTTCTACTTAAAATATATAGAGTTGGAAGGGACCTTGGAGGACATCTAGTCCAACCCCCTGCCTAGGCAGGAAACCCTACCCCACTTCAGACAAATGGTTGTCCAATCTCTTCTTAAAAACTTTCAGTGTTGGAGCATTCACAACTTCTGGTGGCAAGTTGTTCCACTGATTAATTGTTCCAACTGTCAGGCAATTTCTCCTTAGTTCTAAGTTGCTTCTCTCCTTGATGAGTTTCCACCCATTGCTTCTTCTCCTGCCTTCAGGTGCTTTGGAGAATAGCTTGACTCCCTCTTCTTTGGGGCAGCCCCTGAGATATTGGAACACTGCTATCATGTCTCCCCTAGTATATATACTATACTACATATAAAACATATTTAATAATATTAAGGATCATGCAAATTCTTCTATCAGATGATAACCCAGGCCAGGTTCGGCTGGTGGACACTTCAGGCAGTGTCCTGTGTTATGTTTTCCCAATTTGCAATCATCTAAAGATGTTGTTTAGCTGTTTTGTAAATATTTTCTGCAGTGGGGTTTTTTTTTTTTGTTTTTTGCATGCCTCAGGATCAAGCCAAGTGGCTAATCATCTGTGCATGGAATACGTAGCCAATTTACTAAATTATATTTCATTAATATAGTACATTTTGCTAATGTGATATCACAGTTGGAGTCTCCGCGTGTTTTAAAGGGAAAAAGGGACGGAGGGAAAGAGATTGAGACGTTGGTAATCAATCAGAACTTCAGAATCTATCAGGGTTGCTCAACCTTTTAAATGCTCAGCCATTTTAAGAGATGTGGACTTCAATTCCCAGAATTCTTTGAAGCGCTTGTGGGAGAGGGAGGCAGAGGGCTTTAAAACAAAAATAAATGAAAATAAAGATATTTAAGGACTGAAAGCAGAAATCTATTTCTCTCCCTCTCTCTCTCTCTGCTTTCCTGTTCTTCCTCTTCCTCCTCAGAAATCTGGAGCCACGCCTTTCCAGAGTTAGACCACAGATATGTTGTTTCCCACGTGGAAGAAAATGGCGGTCGGTTGCCCGTTGAATGGTCCCCAAAGTGTCCTGCCCCGAGTCTGGAGACTTCGTGGGAGGAACATCTCCTGGAACAGCAGGATCACTTGGAGAAAGAAATGGAAGAAGCCAAAAGGATGATCTCTGGATTGCAGGTCTTTCCTTCCTTCCTTCCTTCCTTCCTTCCTTCCTTCCTTCCTTCCTTCCTTCCTTCCTTCCTTCCTTCCTTCCTTCTTCCCTCCCTCCCTCCCTCCCACTTTTCCTTCTCCTTCCCTCTTGTCCTTCTTCCTTCCTTCCTTCCTTCCTTCCTCCCTCCCACTTTTCCTTCTCCTTCCCTCTTGTCCTTCCTTCCTTCCTTCCTTCCTTCCTTCCTTCCTTCCTTCCTCCCTCCCTCCCTCCCTCCCTCCCTCCCTCCCTCCCTCCCTTCCTCTTGTCCTTCCTTCCTTCCTCCCTCCCTTTCTTCCTCCCTCCCTCTCTCCCTCCCACTTTTCCCTCGCCTTCCCTCTTGTCCTTCCTTCCTTCTTCTTGTCCTTCCTTCCTTCCTTCCTTCCTTCCTTCCTTCCTTCTTTCCTCCCTCCCTCCCTCCCTCCCTCCCTCCCTTCCTTCCTTCCTCCCTCCCTCCCTCCCTCCCTTCCTCCCTCCCTCCCACTTTTCCTTCTCCTTCCCTCTTGTCCTTCCTTCCTTCCTTCCTTCCTTCCTTCCTTCCTTCCTTCCTTCTTCCCTCCCTCCCTCCCTCCCACTTTTCCTTCTCCTTCCCTCTTGTCCTTCCTTCCTTCCTTCCTCTTGTCCTTCCTTCCTTCTTCCCTCCCTCCCTCTCACTTTTCCTTCTCCCTCCCTCTTGTCCTTCCTTCCTTCCTTCCTTCTTCCCTCCCTCCCTCCCTCCCACTTTTCCTTCTCCTTCCCTCTTGTCCTTCCTTCCTTCCTTCTTCTTGTCCTTCCTTCTTTCCTTCCTTCCTTCCTTCTTCCCTCCCTCCCTCTCACTTTTCCTTCTCCCTCCCTCTTGTCCTTCCTTCCTTCCTCCCTCCCTCCCTCCCTCCCTCCCTCCCTCCCTCCTAAATCTCAGACCTTGCTTGCAGGAGTTCTGCCTGTTGCTTCTCTCCCTCCGTTTCGATTCTGCTAAATTCCTTCAGAAGGCAGAACCCTCTTTTATCTCTCTGGGTCCCCCGTTGAAGGTCAGATTCCTGGGGGCGGGGGGAGAGGGAGGGAGGGATGTGTGTGTGTTTCCCTGGCACTGCCCGGCTGAGCGTGTCGCTCTCTGCCCTCCTTGTCGTCCTGCCAGGCGCTGCTGCTGAACGGATCCCTTCCCGAGGACGAACAGGAACGGTCGCTGGTCCTGTGCGAGCAGGAAGCCTGTCCGGAGGAGCAGCTGGTGAGCCTGTTCTCCTGGCCGTCCCTCCCTCCCCCCCCTGGGTGGGCTGGGGAGGGAGGCGCTGGGAAGTGACCGCTCTCTTCGGCCCCCAGGTCATCATCCGGAGCCGCCTGGATCAGAGCCTGGAGGAGAATCAGGACCTGAAGGTGAGAAGCACCTGGAGGTGGAAAAAGGGCTGCTGGAACCTGGGCTGCTGCTTCCAGATGTGCCAGTGCAGGCAGTCCTCGACGTACGACCGTAACGGAGCCCGTCATATGTTCGGGACGGTCGTAAAATAAACCAGCCACCTAACCAACCTGATTTTTACGACTGTTTTTGTGATGGTCTGAAACAACCACAGATCCTGCGGTTGTTAAGGGTTCCGGGCATTCTTAGCATCCTCTGGCCTACAGGGCGATGAGGGTTGGTTGGGTGGGTGGGCTAGAATCGAATGCAACCAAGATAATGGGGGGGGGGGGGGAGGAAAAGGGCTGAACCCTCAATTCTTTTTCCTTCGGCTTCCTTGCAGAAGGAACTGCAGAAATGCAAGCAGGAAAGCCGAAACCTGCAGGGAGTCAAGGTGAGAAGTAACATTTGCAAAAGTGGAGGTGCAAGCAGCAGCAGGCGATTTTGGGGGGGAGGGGGGGCTCTCCAAGAAGCCCTTGGCAGGCAAAATTAGAGGGGCACGCTACAAACCTAAGAAACAAATCACATGAAGCCAGCTAACTCAGGAGTCTGCAACCTTAAACACTCAAAAGAGCCATTTGGACCCGTTTCCCACAGAAAAGAAAACACCGGGAGCCACAAAACTCTTCCTGTGCCTGACTATTTCTTGAGCGGCCACAAAACTAGCATAGTAGTTGAATTAAACGTTCTGTTTTCTTCTGAAACTTTTTTCTTTTCTTGGATTTATCCATGGTTGGGGCCTACCGGGGTTGAAAAGCTCAATAAATCAATATCAGTGCCGGCAGGTGTCGCACATTGGCGGTTGTGACACATTTTGAGTGATGGAGCTGCAGCAAGGGGTGAAAGAGCCACATGCGGTGCGGCTCCAGAGCTGCAGGTTGCTGACCTCTGGGCTAATGGAACTTATTGGGGGGGCCTCCCTCTTTAAAAAAAAAAATTAGGAGCGCTAGAAAGAGACCAAAACGTCCGTTCAAACCCCGTGAAAAGGTGCAAATGAGCCACCCTGCAGCATTGATAATAGGGAGTGCTTGCAGCCTTAAATAAATGGGGCGCATTTATTTTATTTTCATTTTATTTTCTTAGGATGCTTTGCAGCAGCGGCTGGCCCAGCAAGACGCACTGATGCTGCAGATAAAACAGGAACTGCTGAGAGCGAATATGGACAAGGAGGAATTGCGTAGCCAGAATGTGAGTGTGTCGTTTTTGCGGGGGGGGGGCATGGAAAGGACACCATGAGCCCCCCCCCCCCTTGCCAGGCAGAAAGGCAGGTTTCGAATCTGCACCCACGTGCTTCAGCCTGCCTGTGTGGTCAGCTATATGGGTCCCAACTCCGCGTTCGAATCTTGCTCCGCCAGGCTGATCTGCAGAGGAAGGTGGAAGAGAGGAATCGGCTTCTGGCAGAGTACAAGGTAAGGGGTCTCCAGGGCTGGGGGGTGGGGGGAGTCTTGGGAACTGCTGGCTCCCAGGAAGCCCTTTCCTCTCATCTTGCTGAGGTTCGGACCAGAGGAGAAGTCCCCACCAAGAGAGCCCAGGGGCAGAAGTCACAACTTCTTGGCAGCTTCTTATTCCATCGTCTATGGACTTTCTCTGCCATCCAGGTCACAATTGTCCCAAAGTGCTTTTTTTTCAGGAGGCAAACTGGACTTTCTGGGGGGTTTTCTTTGAAGACCTTTTGCTTCTCATCCAAGAAGCTTCTTCAGCTCTGACTGGATGGTGGGGAAGGAACGAAGGAAGTGAGAAAGAGAGGGAGGGAGGGAAGGAAGGAAGGAAGGAAGGAAAGAAGGAGG